CCTCCGGGCTCAGCGAGGGGCCCGACCGGCCGCCGAGCGCGGCAGAGCCGAGGGGGCGCGGAGGCGCCCCCGGGCCGCGTGGGGGTCTCAGCGGGGTCCCTTTGTTGCGCTTCCCCAGCCCTGCGGTGGACGCAAGGCCGCCCGCCCGGGGTCCGGCTCACTCTGGACGGGCTGAAAGGCGCGCGGACGCTTGTTTCAACCAAGATGATGGTGTTTCTCCCAGGGAGTGGGAAACACGAATTTGCCCTTGAATCGGGAACGGTTTTGAAGCCTTTCAGATTTTTGTTGCCTTTTCAAAAGCATCCCAAATCCAGTAATAAGTCTGGAACCGGAGACCGACATGCTTGAAGAGGAGGCACGGGCGCGGGGCTCGTCCCCACGTCCCTCCCGGGAGGCCCCTCGCGGCTGTTCTTAACTCGGGCCAGGCCCTGCGGGAAGGGAGCGGTGGAGGGCAGACTCAGTTTTCACTCTCTTTGTTAACCCACTTCTTTGAATTCCAGTCTGTGATCCTCCCGGTCCACAATGCTGAGCCCTGGTTGGACGAGTGCTTGGGCTCTGTTTTGCAGCAGGACTTCGAAGGTTCCATGGAGCTCTCGGTTTTTAATGATGCCAGTAAGGTACTTACGAACTTCCCACTGGTGATTTTGCCCCATGTAAGTCACATTTGACCGCTCTGATGGGAGTTTCCTGACCTGCCAATGCCGTCTTGCTTTCAGGACAAATCTATGGCTATCTTGGAAGAATGGAAAGTGAAGCTGGAAGGTGCCGGTATCCTCGTGGTCACTGGAGGGCACAGTTCCCCTTCTCCCCGGGGAGGTCAGTTGCCCTGCTTAGCTCGGTATTCAGCTGTGATGACCAGCATCTTATCAACCTACGTACTTAAGTAGTTTCCTGTTCAAATCCTGTTGAAAAGCATCCTGAGTAACACTTGAGTTAAGCACTTAAAAAGTTGGTTAGAGTGTTGTCCTGATAGGCCAAGGTTTTGAGTTTGATCTTCAGTCAGGACACATACAAGAATCAACCAGTGAATGTGTAATTAAGTGGAGCAACACATTCCCTCTCTTCCCAATCTCCCTTTCTCTCTCTAAAAAAAAATATAATTAAAAACATGTTTTGTCTTTTATAAAATACTTTTTATGGATTAGATATAACTTGAGCCATATGACATTTGTATGTATTCTATCAATAACAAAAAATGTGTTGTAATATTGTGAAATAATGGTCATCCTGCTGTCATTTTGAAGTCAGGTAAGGTGGATCCCGTATGACGCACTAATAAAATGCAGTTAATTTGATTATGTCTGAAAGGACATATTTTCCTATAACAATATTTTCTTAAATAGGAAATATTAGGTAACATAGATCCAAAGTGTCTATTTTCAGGAGTGCTGGATTATTTTAATTGGATTAAGATTCATTTATTATTATTTTCTATCATAATAGAGCAGAACATTTCTTAATAATGTGGTCACTTGCTAAAATCAAAATAAAACACAATCCCACCCTCTTCTCTCCAGGAGCAAGGAATGTTGATGCCACACTGTGGCCTGAGTTTTTTCTGCTGTGACCATGACAACCGGCTCCCCTCACAAAGGACGGGGCCTCCCCAAACATCAGGCCCTGGCACAAACATTTGACTTTCTTCAAGGCAATAATATTAAAGCAAATTCCTTGTCTTTGCCAAACAGAAGATTCATTGTGGGAAACTTCCAGCTTCCTTAGTGAGCAACGTTTTCCTTCATTACCCAAATTCTTGGGTTTGATTTTCCCCCTTCTAAAACCAGTTCTAATAAGCAACTTTTTAAACAGAACTCCTGCTAATTTAAATGTGATTGTAGAAAGTCTTTTCCTATTTTTCGTTTTCCACGTGCTGCTCTTCGGTTTTGATTCCCATGAGGTCTTTCTCTGGGCTTGCCTTGCTTTGCAGTGATGATGGAGATTTAGCTACAGCTGTTTTGGTGATGGCTGCTAATCCGTCCCCAGGGGTCAGGAACCAGGCCTTTGCGTTTTCTTCTCTGCCTTGTTATACCTGTAGTTTGTTGAAATCTGGGACCCTTCTGGCTTGGGCTGGCTAAGCTCTAGGATTAACATGAAAACAGCACTGCTCTGGATCAGTCTTTGATGCCCGGAGTGAGGCTGGATTGCAGTTAATGGTTCTCACTTCTCTGTTGCAGACTGGATGACTTGGGTGCTCCAGAGGGGCTGAGTAACAACAGGTACCTGCCCTCTCTCCCCACCTTGGACAGGTGCTCTCCTGAAATACAACTGTTATCTCTAGGTCAGGGGAGGAAAGGTCACCCTCGGGCAAGGTCCCACCCTACTATTGTCCTTTGCTAGGCATCTGGCGCTTTTCCGCCCTGGTGACCTCCTGTATCTGGCCCGTCCTTGCTCTGCTCGTGTCTTCCTATCACATAACCAGCCCCCAGGAGCCCCCTGAGCCCCTTTTGGTCATCCCCCTCCCCCTAGGGGTGCCCACTCCTGATTTGTAACAGCACAGATAGAGTTGCTGCCTTTGTACTCTGAGTAAATGTCACCAGTGTCTGCCGCTGTGCTGGACTCCCTTGGCTCAACAGCAGTCTGGGTATCACCCTCACTGTGCCGGCCAGGACAGTCATCCTCCCTGGCCTATTTACAGCTTCTCCCTTCTCACTGGTGTTCTTTCGAAGTCACGTCTTGGCGAATGTGTAGACCGGTTCTGCTGGGTCCATGCCTAGCAGTGGAGCTGCTGGTCACCAGACATGCACACATTCAGATGTAGACATCGCAGTGACTGTACCTTATTGCTGAAAGCAGACTTTTACCAACCGGCCACACGTGTATGTTATCCTTCCCACCAGGCAGTCATATCGTGACTTCTGTCAGCAGAGACATCATAGAAAGCGTTCCTGCCAGTGTCCACTCAGCACTTTCATTCAGAGACATTTTAATTAAAAAAAAAGTATTCCCCAGGGCTTAGCTTAGTGCTGCTCAACAAAGGTTCGCCGAATGTGTTCTCCTCCAGTGAGCGTATCCCACTGTAATATACCAGTGCTTGTGGACCGTTTGTGGGTTAGCATTGTGCTTATTGTCTCAGCCACTAAACCTGGACTGTGGTTTTCTTCCCTTCCATTCCTAAGGCTGGCCTGGCCTCCTACTTGGAGTGCAAATGCTCTGGCACTGCTGTGGTCTATGTCACACTGCGTTTTATGAGAGAATACTGCTGAAGACTGAATTGTAAGAGAGCTTTTCTTTTTCTCTTCAAACAGTCGGATATTCTAAAAATCAAGCAATAGCGCAGAGCTCAGGGACTTACCTTTGCTTTTTGGATTCGGTGAGTAACTTTTATTTAAAATATGTGTGTGTGTGTATATATATATATATATATATATATATATAT